CGGTCTGGCAGCCAGGGGAGAGGCTGGGTGTGTGCGACTCAGGCTGGGAGGGTGAGCTGGGGCTGAGCATCACTGGGGGGAGGGGGTGAGATGCCCTGTGAGCAGCCCTGGCACCAGGCTGGGGTGGGGGCAGTGGAAGAGAGGAGAGGAGGCTCTGGAGCTGCCCGGTGTCTGAGGCGCCGTCTTCTGTCCCCACCTTCTGTCCCCACAGCCTCTTTCTGCAGCCCCTTGACAATACCACCCTGGAGACTGCAAAGCAGATGCTTTTCCCTTCCACTCCCTGTGCTTTTCCTGAGGGCTATGTTTTAATGTTTTTATTTTAAAATAATTTAATTTATGTAAAAATTGGTACAGGTTCCTATATATCTCACAGTCCGTTTCTCTGTTAACATGGATATCCCCGTCTTATCTGTACAGCTAATGGAGCAACAGTCACATGTTATGAATAATCCCCATACCTGATTTGGGTGTCAGTATTTCTTTTGACCTTTCCAGGCTCCCATCCTGATGTCACATTTAGTCCCAGTGGTGTCTCCTGAGGCTCCTCTGGCTGAGTCAGTCTCTCAGGCTCTCCTTGGTTTTGATGGTGTTGACATTTAGGGGAGCACTGCTCAGGTGTGTTGTAGAAGGGCCCTCGAGTTGAGGTATGTTGACTGGGGCGATGGGGTTGTGGAAGAGATCACACACATGAAGGGTCCTTCTCAGCACAATGCCCTGGAGAATCACCTGCACCTGATAGTTACTGATGATGTCACCTTCCCCACCTAGCTGAGGTTGGGTCTCCACTTCTTCCCTGGGAAGATCTTTCTTTCCTGTGTCCCTTTCCACACAGTAGTCGTTGGAAGGAGTCATCATGTGGAGCCCGCACTTAAGGGGTGCTCTGCTATAAACATTTGTGTGCAGGTTTTGTGTAAATAAAAGTTTTCAAGTGAATTGGGTGAATAACCAGGAGAGCGATCAGCAGGTTTTAGGGTAAATCTGTGTTTCACTTAATAAGAAATTGAAAATGCCAAATCTCTTCCATAGTGACTGTACTATTTTTCATTTCTCCTGGCATTGAATGGCGGTCCCTGTTGCTCCCCATCTTGCTCAGCACGGTGTCCCCCCTTATCTGAGGTTTCACTTTCTAAGCCTTCATTTTCCTGCAATTAACCTAGATGCAAAGTTTTTTCATAAGAAGATATTTAGAGAGAGATCACATCCACACGTTTATTACAGTACATTGTTGTGATTTTGATTGTCTTGTTTTAATATGTTATTGTTATTAATCACACTGTGTTTAATTAATTTTTTAAATTTTAATTTTATTTTTATATTCCCCATAAAATTACAACCCCCTTATTTTGACCCCCAAGCCCTCCTTTCCCCGCCCCCCACCCCCCATAGAGTGTCTTGGTTCATAGTTGTTTGTTGATTTTGATTTTTTCTTTCTTATAGTTATTCTTTTTCCTGGTCCCTTATTTAAGTTTTCTAGATTCCTGCTATGAGTGAGACCATCCGGTATTTTTCTTTTTCTTTCTGGCTTATTTCGCTGAGCATGATCCCTTCCAGTTCCATCCATCCATGTTGCTGCAAATTGCACGTGTTTATCTTTTTTGAATGCTGCGCAATATTCCATGGTGTATATGGACCACATCTTCTTGATCCAGTCATCTATTTTTGGGCATTTGGGTTGTTTCCATAGCTTAGCTATTGTAAACAGTGCTGCTATAAACATAGGGGTGCAGGTGCTCTTTGGAATTGATGTTTCTGTGTCCTTTGGGTAAATACCTAGGAGTGGAATTGCTGCATCATATGGAAGCTCTATGTTTAGTAGGTCAAGAAATCTCCACACAGCTCTCCATAGTGGTTGGACCAGTTCACACTCCCACCAACACACTGTTTAATTTATAAAGTAAACATATCATATGTATGTAAGTGCAGAGAAATCTTCATGTTTACAGGACTCCATACTATAGGTGGTCCAGGCATCCTCTGGGAGTCTTGGAATACATCCCACGTGGATAAAGGGGGCTGCTGTACTAGTATTTGGATTAGGCCAAATTATAGGTGTGTATTGCGTGTCCTAGGTGCTTTGACTTGCACTTGCATTTGTGTATGTTTTTCAACATACTGTGTATCTATCTGTTCATAGGCCTAGTTGCCATCAATCTAGTTTCCTTGGAAACTGCTCAGCATTTTGCTCAACTTTTAAAAAGTTGTTTGTTCCTTGTTGAATTTTAAGGGTTCCATGCATATTCTAAAACATGTATTATATCAGAGTTGTGTCTTGCAAATATTTTCTCCTGGCCTGTGGCCCAAGCTCTTTTATAGACCTAACACTCACATCAATGCATAGACTTTTCTGGGAAGAGAAATGAGGAGTTGCTGACTGCAGTGGGTTCAGAGTAGAGGAAACTTGGTTGACCAGAGGATGATGTGACTTATGTATTTGTGTATGTTCTAGAGTACTAATGAAGCCTCTGTGTGTGCATAAATAACAAATATCAGTTATTATCAAAATCATTTATTAGCAAAAATAAGTCACATTGCAATCCCTGACACTATGAAACAGTTGGCAGATCAGCCTCAGTCACGTGTTCTCAGGTTCTGACCCTCTGCTCTAGGACCCGCCATTTTGTCACTGAACTATTTTGCCTTAGAATTTCCACCTGGCAAAGGGCTGGATGGGTGGACACACCTTCCTACAGAAAATATTAAAAATGCAATGTGAAATGCCAAAAGCATCAGAATTTACAATATAGTAATAAATGGTCACACCCAGAAGAGAAGGGGGAGACCCTGCGTGGGCTCCACAGAGAGCAGCGTCCTGAGGAGGGAGGAAGGGCTGTGAGGGCCCTGCCCAGAGCAGACAGGGAGCCCAGCCCTTCAGCTCTGCGCTGAGCCTGAGCACCACCCGCCCTCCCTCTCAAAATTTAGGAAGACCTGATTTATTCTGGCTATGATGTGTGTGTGTGTGTGTGTGTGTGTGTGTACACACAGTGTGTGTTTGTGTGTGTGTGTGTGTATATATATATATATATATAATGTATGTGCAGCTTAGGATGTGTGTGTGTGTGTGCATGTGTGTGTATATATATATATATATAATGTGTGTTCACCATAAAAATACAAAATGGGACAAAGCATATTCAGACCAGGAAGTAGTAAAAAAACACTGTCAGCTGTTGTTAACAATGAGAAACAGAAAAACACTGAAATGAGGCCACAAGTTTGGTGATGACCAGTCATTGTCAACCTTCCACAGGCAGGTTCTGCACCTGAGACTAGAGGTGAAGGGCAGCACAAGAGGGAGTAGGTGGGGAGGGAGCAGGGACATGAACAGAGACCACCCTGTCCAGTATGAAGAGCTGTGGGGTCCTGGCCAGGGAAGCTCAGGAAAGCAGGGAGCATCTCCTCAGACCTGAGAGAGAATCTGGAGACAAAGTAAACCCAGTTTCTGATGACATAGAGCACATATAAGTCACTTCTACTACAATCCAAAGTACCGTGTCCCAAGGAAACTACTTTGTATGAGGGGAGTTAGACCTATGTTTTTTTTGGGGGGGGAGGGCACTACTATCTTTACTTGAAGGGATGAATGACAAACACTATCATTATTTAGGTTTGGTTAATCTGTACACACTTTCTAGAAAATGAATGTGAGTCTGTCCCTTTAAGAAAATCAACTGACAGTTGACAAATGACAGGAATTAATTGCCTTAATAAAGTGCAAGCTCCAAGTAAAAACTAGATACTGGAAAATTGTGTCCCATTGCTCTAAAATTGACAACTTCCAGTAGCCACTTACTTTTCTTTTTTCTTTCTTTCTTTTTTTTTTAATAGAGGCATGTTTTCTTTCTTTCTTTCTTGCTTTCTTTGTTTGTTTATACAAGCACTGGGTACAGTCAGAAGTGCGCAGGAGGGTGAGAGAATTCAGCAGAGCCAGAGTGGGGAGCAGAGCAGGCAGAAGGACCTAAGTACCCTGCTGAGGGGAGCAGTGGGCGGCAGGAGAGGTCTGCGCGCCATGTGGGACCCTCCTCCGGTGTCCGGGGAGCAGCCGGGGATCGAACCGGCACCGCAGAGGCCGCGGGCAGCTTCGCAACCCAGCGCTCAACCGCTGCGCCACCGGGGAGGACCGCCACTTACTTTTCTTTTCAGATCTTTGGTACGTAAAACATACATGATTTTCAAAACTTAATTGTAGAATAATTGACATAAAGGTCATATAAACTAGTAAAACTGCATCACTTTTTAAAAGCATGTATTAGTTCAACATTAATAATCAAGAGAGGTCTAGGGAATTAATGTAACAGAATAGAAAATAATCAATGATGTTTCGCCCTTCATTTTGCAAATAACATTTGAAAAACCACCGCTACACCAGTGGTTCAATTTATTGTTGAAGTGAAACAAATTTGAATATTCACAATTACCTGAAGGGTACTTAAAATGCTATTCTCACATATTTCAGAGAGACTGTATAGTTTTTCATTGACCAACCAAAACAAAAAGTAAACACAGGAGAAAATATGACAATCCAACATGCTTCTAATGACACAGAGAAGAAAGACAATTGCAAAAATATAAGCTGTAAAAGATCCACTATTTACCGTGATTATTTACATAAATACCTCTATTTCTTTAAGACACTTTGTGAACATACAATGGGTTATTAATACTGTTCTAAATTAAATAAAAATATCTTTAAATTGGTTTTATTCCTAGTGTAGTAAATACTGAGAGCTACAACCTCCTAAAATTATGTTCAGGCTCTCGCTAATTTGTATAACTGTGCAGAGATCCTGAAAGCAAAATGCTTGAAAATCTGATCCAGTCCCCTGGCCTGGCCTCAGGGTCATGGTGTGACAAAGGCCTTGAAGCAGGAGAGGAGGGGGCAGCAAAGTCCCAGGTATCAGGTGTGGTTCTCAGGGTCTCAGCACCCAGGGCTGTGTCTGGGGCAGGGAAGGTTACTGTTGGATATTCCCCATCTCCCCACAGTTTCTCTTCTCTCTCACAAGCTGCCTTGGGTCCTCATTCCTGGATAGGGTGACTCACCCCAGTTCTCCCTCCCCATTGCCTGGAGGGTCCAGAGCAGCCAATCAGCATCACCCTGGCTCCAAGTTACAAGTCTCCACTGACCCGCCAAGATTCAAATGCTCAGCCACCTCTGGGACACAGGTGATGCCCCCAACTCTCCTGCTGCTGCTCTCCTGGGCTCTGGCGCTGACAGAGACCTGGGCAGGTGAGTGCGGGCTCGGGAGGAAAAAGGTCAGTGTGGAGGGGGAAGTAGAGGAACCCCGGGCGGGGGTGCAGGACCCCGGGAAAGTCGCGTCCCCGCCATCGCTGGCCTTTTTGTGCCCCGTCACCCCACCTTGTCCTGACCCCTTTCTGTCCCTCCCAGCCTCCCGCCTGCTTTTGTCCCCTGAGTCTCGGCCCTTCTTGTCCCGCCACCCCTTAAAATCTCAGGACCCCCCTCGCCCCCTCCCCTCCCGCTCAGTCTCCCCAGCCCGGGTCTCCCTCCCGCCCCAGGCTCCCACTCCCTGAGGTATTTCCACACCGCGATGTCCCGGCCCGGCCCCGGGGAGCCCCGCTTCATCGCCGTGGGCTACGTGGACGACACGCAGTTCGGGCGGTTCGACAGCGACTCCCCCGGGGGGAGGGTGAAGCCGCGGGCGCCCTGGATGGCGCAGGAGGGGCCGGGGTACTGGGCGCGGCAGACTAGGAAGGCGAAGGGCGCCGCACAGACGTTCCGAGCGAACCTGGGCAGCGCGCTCCGCTACTACAACCAGAGCGCGGCAGGTGAGCGGGGCGGGCCCGGGGCGCTCACGACCCCACCCCGCGGGCGGGCGGGGACCCCAGACCCCGGGCCCGAGCGTCCCCCGAGGCAGGGGGACTCGCCGGACCCTCGACCCGGGACGAGCCCCGGGACGTTCCCCGCGGGGTTCCCGCGTCAGTTTCGGTTTATTCCGGGGGGGGGGGCGGGCGGGGTGACCGCGGGGTGACGCGGGGTGACGGGCGGGGACAGGCTCTCACACCCTCCAGGGGATGTCTGGCTGCGACGTGGGGCCCGACGGGCGCCTCCTCCGCGGGTACAGTCAGGTCGCCTACGACGGCGCCGATTACATGGCCCTGAGCGGGGACCTGCGCTCCTGGACCGCGGCGGACACAGCAGCGCAGATCACCCGGCGCAAGTGGGAGGAGGAAGGAGAGGCGGAGCGCGTCAGGCACTACCTGGAGGGCAGGTGCGTGGAGGGGCTGCGCAGAGACTTGGAGCGCGGGAAGGAGACGCTGCAGCGCTCAGGTGAGAGGGGCCGCGACGTCTCCCCACCCACCTCAGGCCGGCACCGCGGGGAGGGTGGAGTCAGGGTCACAGCAGCGCCCCCTCTCTGGTCAGGGGAGGAGGAGCCCCTGGGTTTCCTGACTCCCCAGAGGACCCCACCTTTCCTCAGAACAGTTAAGGAATCCAGTGTCTCCTGAGCATGAGGGGAGACCAGCCCTGGAATCTCCCTTCACTAGATCCTTTTCACCAGCCGCCCTCTTGGGAACCATCAGTGTCTCTCTCAGGGTCTTGTTACTGGTCGGAGGACATTTTTCTTTTCTTTTCTTTTTTTAAGATTTATTTATTTATACATACAAGAACTGGGGTACAGGCCAGAGGTGTGGAGGACAACGGGATTCACCAGAGACAGAGCAGGGAATCTGACTCCTGCTTTTCTGAGTGACTAGGTCTGTCCCCAAACGTCTGTGCTCTCCTCCTTAGAGAACTGCCTCCTCCTATCCAGAGCTGTCGCCCTAATTCTAGATCTAAGGAATAAGAGATTATCCCAGACCAGGCTTTCTAGATTTTGTGCTTCCTCTTCTAACCCCACTGCCCTGTCCATTCTGAGGCTGGTCATAGGAGTTTTTTTCAGGTCCATGAGGGGAAAAACCAAAGTGTGTAAGTTCTCACCCTTCTCCTCAGAGGCCCCAAAGACACAGGTGACCCACCACCCCACCTCTGACCATGAGGTCACCTTGAGGTGCTGGGCCCTGGGCTTCTACCCTGCGGACATCACCCTGACCTGGCAGCGAGATGGGGAGGACCTGACTCAGGACACGGTGCTGGTGGAGACCAGGCCTGGGGGGGACAGAAACTTCCAGAAGTGGGCGGCTGTGGTGGTGCCTTCTGGAGAGGAGCAGAGATACACGTGCCATGTGCAGCATGAGGAGCTGCTGGAGACCCGAGTCCTGACTTGGGGTAAGGAGGGGGGTGGGCACAGAGCTTCTCAGGAGCATCAGGAGCCCCTCTGGAGACCTTTAGAGCATCAGATGGAGGCCTGGGGCTCAGGGTCTCACTTTCCCTTCCCCTCCAGAGCCCCCTCTTCAGTCCTCCATCCCCACTGTGGGCATCGTTGCTGGCCTGGTTGTCCTTGGAGCTGTGCTCACTGGAGCTGCGGTGGCTGCAGCTGTGATGTGGAGGAAGAAGCGCTCAGGTGGGGAAAGGAGTGGGGCATCTTGTCTACTAGGGACTTTCAGGCCACAGATAGAACTTGCCCTGCCTGGTAAGGGGAAGTACCACCCACACACTTGTGTTTCCCAGTCTGGAGCTTATTGTTAACCCTCTTTTGTAAAGCATTTTTGAAAATGAATCACAAGTTGTTCACCTTGATAATTCTGGTGATGGGGCCCTGATTCCAGCAAATGGCACAGGGGAAGGTCTCTGCTAAGGGCAAACCCCAGGATGCAGTTGGTCCAGTCCCCTCTCATCTCCTCTCTTCATCTATCCTGGTCTTGCCCTAAGTGTCCAGTCACTTTTCTGGAAACTTCCCTGTGGCCCAGGACTAGGAGATGCCTTTAGGATTTAATGGCCTGATTCCTCCCTGGTCTCAATATAATGTTTCTTCCCTCAGGTGGACAAGGAGGAAGCTACACTCAGGCTGCAGGTAAGTGTGGATCAGGGGTTTGGTCCCTGAGCCCCTGGAGACAGTGTAAATGGAGCCCATGTGGAGTCACCCCCATCAGTCCCTCCTGTGTGCTCATCTCTCATGGCTCTGACCAGGTTCTGTTTTGTTCTCCCCCAGGTGGCCACAGTTCCCAGGGCTTTGATGTGTCTCTCATAGCTGCTAAAGGTGAGACCCTGGGGGCCTGAGGTAGGAGGAGCTGGGGGGAGGAGCTGGGGCAGAGAGGATGCCACCAGGTTATGGGGAAGCTTTGAGAGGGACATTCTGAGGATGCAGTGGACTATGGAGAATGTCAACATTTATGTGTTTCTTGAAATTTTTTATGATCCTTTTCCTACACAGTGTGAGCAGCTGCCTTGTGGGGACTGAGTGATGCAGGATGTCTTCTCATCCCCACTTTGTAACTTCAAGATATGCCGGTTTCTTTTGCTGCAAAAGGCATCAGAATGTGTCTCTGTTCTTATGAGATAATGTGAGGAGGTGGGGAGACTGGCCCAGCCCTGCCCACCAGACCCCTCCCCACACTGACCTGTGTCTCTCCTTGATGATTTTCCTGTTCCAGCAAAGGCAGCTTAGTCTGCATCTACCCCTGTCTTTGTGTTTTCCTCAAGAACAGTAACTACTTCCTTCTGGAAATAATAATTGAGTTCTGAAATTACTTTCTGTGAACTTGTCTGATGGGTTTGAGGGCTAATAAAAATGATTCCTGAAATTTGAGATGAAATAAATGGGAACCTTTCACAATCACGTGTTTGCTGTGCTGAGTCTGCAGGTGGGGACAGGAGAGGCTGTGAGGAGCTGAGGGGGATGAGGCCTGTGTCCAGTCAGTGCTCAGTGCATTGTGGGCTTTGACGTGGTCACTCCTCAGGGGTCATCTCTCTGCTCCTTTGTCCTTGTCCTTCAGGAGCACCTGTCCCAGCAGGGCCTGTGATCACAGGGACTCAGACCCCACCTGGCCTTGTGCTCATGTCTGGGCAGGGAGTGCTTGTGTGGCCCGGTCAGCCCAGGCTCAGCTTAGGGTCTAGCCTTCTGCCCTCAAATTTCTCTCTATTTCTATTTTGATTCTTTGGTTTTTATTTTGCTTTATGCCTGTTCATTTTCATGTTTAGAGACCAGGCCTCATGTGCTGTTAGTCCCTGTCTCTGATAGCAGCAAGAGGCACCTGTCGTCCCCACAAGGCCCAGGGGGGCCCCTGCACATAGAAGTCTGATAAATTTCCAGACTCATCTACTTTTTGGCCTCATTTTAGGAATGTTTTCTACATTATTAGTTCCATCTTTTCCAACTCTTTTTGAAAGAACAAAATCTTGGTATTACTAGAGAGGAGGATTTGATAATATCCTGATGGATTTAGAGAAGTTCCTAATAGATTTATGTTTTTCCCTACAATATCTCCCTGTAACCCTGCCCTTAAATGTAGTAACCCCAGTGCTGGTGCTAATCGAGACCCATGGGTTGATGGAGTCAGTTACCTTCATAGTTGACTGAAAAATAGGACTCATAAGCTTAGGAACCCAGGCCTCCCTGGTGGCCCAGGGGTTAAGTCTCAGTGCTATCACCTCTGCACTCCCAGTTCAATCCCTAGCCAGGGAAATAACCCACATATGGCCCAGCAGAGGTCTCCTATTTCTCCTGCTGCTCCCCTTAGCAGTGTATTTCAGTAAATCCGCCTGTTCTGCTCCCCACTCTGTCTCTGGTTTATCCTTTCACCACACCCACCCCCACACTTCTGACCTATACCCAAGTTCTACGCAAAAATAAATCTTAACAAGAACAAAAAACCCCTAGGAACCTCTTTTCAAAAGAACTATGTAATGTGCCCATTAGTAAAAACACTGTCTCTAGAACAGGAGGTGCTCTACACTGATGACACAACTGATTACTGTTGCACAAGATGTGTGACTGTTTATGCAACTAGGAAAACTCAACGAACTAAAAACATGCACAACTTGCAGCCTGTGGAGAGTGTGTCCTAATGGGGAGGGAAGACTGAGGATTATGGACTGTAAATCAAACAGTCAACCACTCGTGTCTGGTTAGAAGTGGGTAGGGAATGTGGGAAGGTGACCAAGTCAGTGTGTGGGGACACTGACTCGTTCGTTTATTTTCCCAGGATGGTCAGCGTGGGTCTCACTAAAGTGACCTTTGAGAAAAAGTTTAATGGACACGTTACCCACAGGGATGTGATGTGCAGGGAATTCAGTCCAGACAGGACAACCTCCAGTGCAGATGCCTGAGCAGGAATGTGTCTGTGTGACTGACATGAGCACAGAGGCCAGCTGCTGCAGCAGAGGCCATTTGAGATGGGATCTGTGCACCCAGATCATGCAGGCCTTGAGGATGTTGGGAGGGTTTGACTCTCTGAGTAAGATGTGGGGTGACAAGAACTTCTGAACAGATACACACCTATGGGACTTCTCTCTGGTAGCCTCAGTCTGGCTGCTGTGCAGCATGGAAGGGTGAGAGGTGGGAAGAGAAATGGAGGAAACCAGTGCAGGTCCCAGGCCAGAGAGGTTGGTGGCTTCGTTGGGGGCTGAGCAGGGATATAATAGGAAGTGACAGGACTGTGCGTATTTAGACATGGAATTTACAGTGTTTCCTACTGCTGGGCTGTGAGAAAGGGGTCAAGGATGACACTCAGTGTTTCAGACTGTGCAGGCAGAGAGGTGGAGCCTCAGTGACATGGGGAAGACCCCAGAAGACCCATATGTGGGCATCCCAGGAATTCAATTTAGGAAGTTGAATGAGCTCTATTAGAATTGAAAGTGGGGGGGCGGAGCAACATGGCGGCGAGGAGACGCTGCGAGTAAGATCTCCCATTAAAAAAAGTTAATAGGGAGGGAAAGCGGCAGGTCCCAGTGAGAACTGGGACACGGAAGATAAACGGGTGACTCCAGCGAACTGCCCAAAGAAGAAAGTGGCCATAAAAGAGGACGAGAAGGGAGGAAAGCGCAGAACCCTGCTCCCCTCCCCCGCCCACAGAGGCGGCACTCTCCGACCCGCAGAGAGGAGGGAAACAACAAACCAAAACGGCCAACAAGAACAAACGACGCAGCAAGCGGGACTGTGAGTGGAAAGGAACTATTTCAGCCACCACACCCCGTGAACGGGAGCTGTGGAGAACCCCGCAGGATCCGCCGCGGAGGTGAGCGAACGGCTCCGGGGGCCATTGAAGAGAGCCCCGCCCCCGGGGAGGAGACCAGCACCAGCACACAGCCCCGGGCTGCCCGGTAAGCCTGCGCGGAAAGGCGGGCGCGCTGGAAAAACAGGCACGGATCGCGGTCAGGATTGCGCGGAACAGCGGCGCGCTGGAAAACCAAGTGCGGATCGGGATCGCGCGCGGAAAAGCAGTGCAGTTGAAAAGCAAACGCGGATCCAGATCGCAGCTGCCCAGGTCCCTGCGCCTGCAACCTAGGATTGCGGGGAGACGCGCGGAGGCCCTCACTGAGTGAGCAGGCCCAGGCGCCCAGGCACGGGAGCGGGATTCAAAAGGCGCCATTCCCGCGCCACTGAACTGGGCTACAGCCTGAGTCCTGGAACTGAGGGCTTTGGAACTGACACCCGGGGCACGAAACTAGGGGCGTGGGTTCCCCACGATGGTGGGGCACAAGGCAGACACAGCACCCCAAAGCCATTGAGGTTTACACTACCATTCCCGCTCTATTCCCTGTCCCACGGGGTGGAAAATCAGCTCCCCAAGGGCTCCAGGAGAGATCTCTGGTGCCACCTAGCGACTTGAAGCCAGCAGAGGCGCCTAGAGGAGCCAGTGGCCAGCTGGGGAGTTAGCCCACGCCGGGCCCCTTCCGACCAGTAGTCTGAGCCCACAGGGGGAGCGAGCACCCACAGCCGGGGCAGACCAGGCGCGCAGAAGAGTGTGCCTGAGACCGGACGCACAGGGAGTGTGTCCCACATCACCATCTTAGAACAGGGACATTTCTTCAGTAAAGACTACCTGCAGAAGGCTTCCTCAGGAGCCAGAGGTGAGCGGGGAAGTTCGCCCACGCCAGACCCCCTCTGGCCTGCAGTCCAAGCCCAGAGGGGGAGCAGGAACCCACCGCCGGGGCAGACCAGGCGCACAGGGGAGTGTGTCCCCACATCGGCATTTTAGAACAGGGACCTTTCTCCAGTAAAGACTGCTTGAAACTGACAGATGACTCCTGGAGGAACCAGAGGAGAGCAGAGAAGCTCACCCAAGATGCCGGCCAGTCCCAACTACACAGTGTCCCAACGCATACGGCAAATTAGAAAACAGACAGTAGGGAGGAGAAGAACCACACGCAACCTAGCAACTCCCCAGGGAAAAAGCACACCACAAAAAGAAAAGCAGCCCCCAGATTGCAACGACAGTAACTTGGAAGAACTTCTGAGCCTTCCAGAAAGAGAATTTAAAATTGCCGTGATTAAAAAACTGACAGAAGTCATAAAGGAAAACAATGATAAGGGAAAAATAATCAACGATCAGAAGAATGCAATTGAGTCCCTAGAGAGGGAAAACAATGGTCAGAAGAATGAAATTGAGTCCCTAAAGAGGGAAGTAAAAGAAATGCAGGAAATCAAAGAATTAATGGAAGAACTAAAGAATTCTGGGAAAAGCAATGAAAGCAGAATAGATGAAATGGAAGAACGAATAAGTAATCTTGAAGACACAGAAATAAAAAGAACCAAAACAGAAAAGGAAAGAGAAGTACGAAGGAAAAAGAATGAAGAAAGACTTCGGGAACTATCTGACTCCATGAGGAAAGGAAATATAAGAGTTATAGGAATACCAGAAGGAGAGGAGAGAGATGTAGGAACAGAGAAAATATTCAAAGAGATAATTGAAGAGAACTTCCCAAATGTGAAGAAGGAGCTGAAAATTGATATACAAGAAGCAAGAAGAACACCAAACTTCCACGATGAAAGGAAAAATACAGCAAGACACATAATAGTAAAGCTCCCAAGAATCCAGGACAAGGAAAAAATAATGAAGCTGGCAAGAGGGAAAAACAGATAACATTCAAAGGAAAGCCAATCAGGCTGACATCAGACTACTCCAAAGAAACACTACGGGCAAGGAGAGAATGGAGGGACATAGTCAACAGACTCCAAGAAAACAGATGCCAACCAAGAATTCTCTATCCCGCAAAGCTCTCCTTTCTCTTTGAAGAAAGAGTATGGACCTTCCCAGACAAACAGAAACTCCGGAATTTCATTGCAACTAAACCCCCACTCCAAAAAATACTACAAGGAGTCTTAAAGCCAGAACCTCAGAGGGACGAATAACAATGAAAGAAGGCCAAAAAAAAAAAAAAGTTATTAAAAGAATAAATAAATAAAATCAAAGGAAAGACAAACACAATGGCAAATACAGATGCTAACATATCAATATTAACTCTAAATGTAAATGGACTAAACTCTTCAATAAAAAGACACAGAGTTGCAGCCTGGATTAAGAAACAAAACCCAACCTTTTGCTGTCTCCAGGAAACACATTTAGCTACAAAAGATAAAAATAGGCTCAAAGTTAAAGGATGGAAAACAATCCTACAAGCAAATGGACCAAAAAAGAAAGCAGGAACAGCTATACTTATATCAGATAAAACAGATTTCAAACTCAAAAAGATAAAAAGAGACCCCAATGGTCACTACATTATGATCAAGGGGACAATACTTCAAGAAGAAATAACACTCATTAACATATACTCACCAAACGAAGGAGCACCAAAATATATCAGACAACTGTTACCCTCTCTGAAA